GGCACCCCTAGCAGAGACCGGATACCCCTGTCTGGCATTGTCCTTTACAAATGTGCCCGTTGGCTATGCTCATTGAATGTGTGTATGCCCATTGGCTATGCTCATTGAATGTGTGTATGCCCATTGGCTATGCACAGGTGCCCGTAGGCTGTGTGTATGTGGCCATAGGCTGTGTATGTGCCTATAGGCCATGTCTGTCTGCCAGTAGGCTGTGTGTGTGTCCCCGTAAGCGTACGCTATGTCTGCCAGCAAGCTGTGTGTGTCTCCCCGTAAGCGTACGCTATGTATGCCAGTAGGCTGTGTGTGTGTGCCCGTTGGCTATGTATGCAACCGTAAGCTACATATGTACAACATTTTTGCATTTCTGAATGAAAGGCCTATCTGTGCTAGAAACCCCACACAAAGTCCCAAGCCAGACTCGAACCTATGCTCATGATCATCATCATCTCACAATTGTGCTCCACCATATGTGCTACAGTCTCAAATGATACCGATGTGCGGGATGCCAGACTGGGGAGATCATCAGCGCAACCTATGACCAATGTCCTCCTATGGCAACTCACTCATAGTCAAGTCCTGACATACAACAAACAATCTTCGACTACATCCCTTGGGTGGTGCAGGCACTGTCTGTAATCCTTACTGTGCACCGACCCAGAGGATTAGTGTGTACAGCCGTGCGTCGGGTGACAACTCCCGTAAGGTGGAGGTAAGCCGTGCCTCACGTTGGCCCTATCCTGTCGTAGGGGCTCGCGAGAGGTGTCCGTGCTCAACCGTTACAGTCAAAGTCTTGGAATCCAGTCAACATCAACAGATGTGGTCAAAGTCAAGTAATCAGCTAAAGTCAACAGATCTGGTCAAAGTCTTTGAATCCGGTCAACGTCAACAGATGTGGTCAAAGTCAAAGAATCAGCTAAAGTCAACACATCAGGTCGAAGTCGAGGAATCTGGCAAACATCAACAACTGGCCTGGCTCTCAGTTGGGACCCCCCCCGCCATAAACTTTTGAAATGCAGACCCGAGTTGATATTCCAATGCAATCAAATGATGGAAAACGACTTTTGTTCTTTTCAATCTGATTTTTTTCAACAACAACAAAAAAAAAGGGCGACTGCCTTCCTTGAGATATCATCATGCCAGCCAATGGAGGACTGGCTAGCCCGAGGGGTAATTCAGGAATTTTTCATTCATCTAGTTCCATCCGGGGATTTGAACTCAGGTCTGGATTTCGTCAGTTCATCGGTGTACCAACTGAGGTACCCAGTGGTACAACTTTGAATTGACCCAGGACCGGTCAGTTCCATCATATCTCAAGGCTGCCGCCCTCTCTTCAAAAAAAAAAAAAAAAAAAAAAAAAAAAAAAAAAAGAAAAAAAAAGGTGAATGTCAACAAGAGTGGTGTACCTCAGTTGGTAGTAACTTGGTACACACCAGACCTGTTGAAATACTGACCTGCATCCAACTTGTTGTTGTTGTTGTTCTTCTTCTTTTTTTTTTTTTTTGGACTGACCTGCGTCCAACTTCAAATCACAACAGATGAGTGAAATACTCCAACTGAACAAATCTGAATTGCCTAGGAGTCTAGGGGATCGTTGATGATATCTCAAGGCCATCGCCCTCTTTTTTTTTTTTTTTTTTTTTGTTTAACACAGGTCAAGGAATCTGGAAAAGCCAATCATCCTCTATGGCATCATTTTGACATCTGAACAAACAAAGCAGCATTCCCAGTTTTTCAAATGAACACACACACACACACACACACACACACACACACACACATTTATGTATGTTTCTTCTCTCTTGTATTTTTCGAAGTACTTTTTGAGTGTCACAAGCTGAGCACCCTCAAGCAGTGCCAAACAGTCGGTCAGTCCACGTTAAGGGTGCCTACAGCACTCTTAGGGGACCCGCTCGGTTCGGGATGTCTGTGTTTCCTGCGGGTGATGACGGATGTTCGTCTGAGTGATTCCCTGGCTCAGCGGGTGGCGGGAACCAACAGTCTGTGGGGTTAACTTGAGATGTGAATAGGTCATGTGCTGCTTTGCTCCGTGTTGGATGTGTAGACTGTCTTTGTCTGCGCTCTGCCGCTGCCTTGCTGCCCATTCCGCTTGCTTCGCAGGTCTCCTCGTTGCTCTGCTGCCTTGCCGCCCATCCGTGGGCCGTGCCTTCCGTCTCTTTTGCTTGCGTGCGTTGTGGTTTGGTCCCCTTGCTGGTGTTGCCTTGCGCTTCACTGCACGGTTGCTGAGCTGCTCGTCCGCTTGCCCTGTCGGCCTTCCGTGTCCTTTGCTTGCATGCCTTGTAGTCTGGTCACTTTGTTGATGTTGCCTTGCGCTTCACTGCACGGTTGCCGAGCTACTCGTCTGCTTGCCCTGTCGTTCCTCACAGTCGTCTTTGGTAATAAGCAGTTGGGTTCCTCCGGCAGCGTTGCCTTGTGCTTCGCTGCGTTGCTGCCCGCTGCTATGTCCCGTTTTGGGACAGTCCCAAACCATGGGTCAAAGGGTTCCATCAACTTCCATGACATGACCCAAACCATCAATACGGGGATTCTGCAGATTGTCGAGGTTCAGCCTCTTGACGAGTCGCGTGAGGGGGGGGGGGTACCATGGGTCTCATGAGGTGCATGGTGAGTACAACATGGGATATATTGGACACACACACGCACGCACACACACACACACACACASCMACACACACACACACACACACACACACACACACACACACACACACACACACACACACASMMACACACACACAAACATGGAATATATTGGACACACACACACACACACACACACACTAATGCAACAGTGTTTCTTTAATTCACCAGTACTCGCCCAGCTATGGATGCTAAGCCTAAATTCACCCTGTGCGGCCAAAAAAAAAAAAGGAGCGCGCGCGCCTGCTTTTGGCTGGCGGCGCCAGCCGTTTGGGTCCTGTACCCAACCCCCCGAAAAATGCAGCCTTACACGAGCCGTGACTTTTGTTTGTCAGCGGTGAAAGGTACTGGTGGTTTAATGGTAACTCTGCAGAGATGAAGTGACTCGCTTCCCTCCATTACTCAACATTCCACATGAATATGTACTCTATCGCGGCCCTCATACATTGCTACTGATCCAGCATTTTGAATGTATTGCAACCATTACCAGCTCCAAATACATTTTGAATGCTGCCTAGTGGAGCGAGGCCCGGCGTCTGGTCAAACTATTCATCTCATCAACATCAGAGCAGCCTAGCATCACCTGGCCCACGACGCAGGGAAGCGTCTGTAGAGTGGGTTATCCCTTGTATTCAGTCTGACTTGCAGGGTGGGAGTGGAATAGGAGGAGAAGAGGAAGGACAAGAAGGAAGAAAGAAGAAGAAGAAGAAGGACATCCATTACACAATTGGAACGATACAGAAAAGATCAGCATGGCCCCTTCACAAGGATGGGTTTTATTAATTTTTATTTTTCAAACAGAAGAAGAAGAAGAAGAAGAAGAAGAAGAAGAAAGAAAGTGTGGTTTATCCTGCTACATAATAAATACATAAAATAAATATACAAATAAATCGACAACTGGGACCTGCCTACGACTGACATGGATAAAAGCCCATATCCGTTGTAGGTGGCCGGAGCTGACGGGTCCGATCTTATTCGTGGGCGGCAGCACCTGCTGGGAACCGGGCCCAGCGTATCCTCAAAAAAATTTATTTTTTTATTTTTTTTTCCAAATCCTCGAGTTGCTCAAAATCAGAGCTCTTGCAATCCTTTTTTTTTTTCTTTTTTTTTAATGGGGTCCTGCTGGCCATTTTTTTGTTTTGCAATGGGCTCTTGCAGTCCTTTTTTTTTTTTAATTTTTAATGGGGTCCTGCTGTCCTTATCCACAGTCTGAGGGGTGGACTCACAAAGCGCAGGCATAGCGCACACATAGCACACACATAACACAGGCATAGCACACACATAGCACACACATAGCACACACATAGCACACACATAGCACAGACATAACACACATATAGAACAGACAGAGCTCACACATAGCACACACATAGTCCAGACATAGTCCAGACATAGCACAGACATAGCACAGGCATAGCACAGACATAGCACAGGCATAGCACAGACATAGCACAGGCATAGCACACGGCGACACGCATCGCACAGACATAGCACAGGCATACCATCACTCTGTCACTGACAAGAAGCACAACCTAACGAATGCTTTCAACGAAAGACGGTACACTGGATCACCATTTCTAATTTTCTAGCCGTCATTTTTTTTTTTTTTTTTTTCACCCAAGGACAGAGCTCCAATCTATTCGTGGGGAGCAGCCCGTGCTGGGAACCGAGCCCGGTGTCCCATATGAAAATTAATAAATTATACACAGAATGGTGCACCATCATTTCTAGCCATAAAGTCGTAGAGTGCGAAGACCAATGCCCAGTAATGAAGAACCCGTGTATCTGGAAAGTTGGAAACCGCACCCTAGTAGGAATCTCTCTCAAAGAATGTGATGGGCGTGTTGTTGTTGTTGTTGTTGTTGTTGTTGTTTTTTTTTTTTTTGTGAGAGAGAGAAATTCCATCACGATTGGCGGATCATTGTCCTCGACAGCATCAGAACTGGCCACAGCGAAATAACATTTCCAGCAGAAAAGTTTTAATTTTCTGATCAACAACACCATGCAAGGAAGTTTAATTTTCTCCCCCCCCCAAAAAAAAAAATAAAAAATAAAAAAATGTTACCAGAGAAGTTTAATTAAGCGAGCGAAAAAAAATCAGCGCTGTTAGGGAAAAAAAAAACAAGAAGAAGAAACCTACCTTCTCTGTCCAGACCAGCCTTCCTTTTTATCCAGACCACTGTAAGTCCCCCCAAAAAAGGAGGAGGAAAAATTCAAAAAAGGAAGAACAAATAACGACTGAAGTCCCCCTGCGTTGGGGGGAAACAACCGTGATGTTTGGTATACAGCTTCCCTGGGGCAAACAACACAACGGGAACTTGCCCTGGGGCAAACCCCTGGCCTAGTTTTGGGTTAACAGTGTTCCAACCATATAACTCTTGCGGCAACGCGGGAGGACCAGGCAGGAAATTATTTGAGCTGGAGATCTGCTTCTGTGAGTCCTAAACGGAAAGCTCGATAGCGATGGTTCAGTCCTTTTTGAGCGTGTACCTGGTAGCGGCTTCCCAGGGCTCCTGCACGGTTGCTGGCTATGGCGTAAAATACTTGACTTACTCTTTGATGGATGAGCGCCATGGCACACATTGCACACGGTTCCCGAACGACAAAAAAGTCAAAGCCGGTACATAAATAAGGGCGTGATGGCAATAGCCTTCCATGTGGCGGATGGCCGGAAGGCTTGTCGTCTTCCCTCCGACTGCTGCCGCTGTGGTCAGACTGATCTGGCTCAAGCCGAGGACGTTTTGCCCTTTCACATGTCGGTTCCCTGATGCTCAATGCTTCCTTTCCCTCCACCTCACAATCCACCCACCTGGCCTCCGTCGGACAATCTACTCCCCTCCCCTCCTTCCATGGCGGAAACATCAACAAATCTCTCTGCGCTTCCCAGTCTATTGCCACCATGACCGCATGCTTCAAAGGGTGTGGGAGAAACGTCAGTCCAGCCACGCTGTCGCTGTTGCTGTTGCTGTTGCTGTTGCTGTTGCTGTTGCTGTTGCTGTTGTGGTTGCTGTTGCTGTTGCTGTTGCTGCATCCCTTCGTCGAGCTGCAGCCGCCTTTCTCACCACCCGGCGTGATCCCTTCTTCCCGACTCAAGGACCCTTCACAGCCCGTGCATCTGGCATCTTCTTTCACATCCCTTTCTGCTATTTCTGTTTCCTTCCCCGCGGATGGCTGTGCTGGCCTCGCTGAACTCTTCGTGATCTGTGCCGCGACTTCGACTCCAATACCACGAGGGCAAAGTACTTCGCTGCCATTGTCGCCGGCCTTTGCATGAGGATCGCCAAATGCAGTAGGTTCCAATCCAGAACAAGCTGCCGGCGGGTAAAGTCCGCAGCCATTAGTTGTTCGCATGCATTCCTCAAGCCCTAGTCGATCCCCGCCCTGAGCCACGACCTCGTCTCTCTCTGATGCGAGGGACCATGGCTCTTGCTCAATCATCTGAGAGTCTAGCATGGCCACACAGCTAGATTCAGAAGTCGATTCTGAGGGCATGGCCACACAGCTAGATTCAGAAGCCGATTCTGAGGCCAGTTTTTGCTCTGCGCTTTGCGGCACAGGAGAAGACCAACCTTCTTCGCGCTCCTCATGATCGTCGTCTCTCCTTTTTGTTGGGTGCACGGCTTCTCTTCCTCTTCCTATTTCGCTGGCTTCTTGATCGAGGTTACTGTTGCTGCGTGTCGTACGGTCTTGGAACCACCTCCCCGTCTGGTCGTACCCAGAGGCGATGACTTTACCACAGAACCCGTCAACGATGACTGTGCCGTTTCCCCGGTGACCTTGGGCGAGCGCAATGCACGCCTGCTGCACGGCAGCTTGCATGAATCCTCTGATCAGCTGAAGCTCTTTCTCGTTGAATTCCGTCGGAGTCGATCTCGCGCTGCCCCCAACTGGATGGTAACTGCACGGCCACAGCTTGTTCTGATCAACCCATTCTTCTCGACTCAGCGCAGGAGAGCGTGGCACCTGCCCCTTGTATAACTTCAAGCTGTGCTGCCTCACTATCGCTGCTACGTCGCCGTTGAGGATGTTTGGCCGCTCACGTGGAGGCCCCTCCACCAGCGAAAAAGCATCATCCCGATCCAAGCTCCCCTCCGTCGAATCGTCACCATCCTCGCCATCAACCACGCAGACGATGATGGAAAGCTTATGCCCGCCTGCAGGCGATAAGGACCGCTTAATCCACTTGACATGATGGAGATTCCGAAGGGGGGCTTTGGCGCTCAGCAGTTTGATCAACCAACTGGCAGATGAGGACTCTATGTCCGCAACCCACACCCATAATGGCGTCCGATCTACTGCATCCCTGCTGCCCATCACCTCCACCGGCGTCCATGATGCACCAATGGCACCCATTACTCAGCGAAACAACAGGTGTGCTGAGGAGAGCAGCCAAAGCAGAGGGAGGGGTAATGGCGGCCGGGAGGGGGAGGGACTGATATACAGAGAGCAATTCGAGGAAAGCAGAGTCGTCACCAAGGGAAGGAGGCGGAGGAGAAGGCGAAGTACGCGGGAAAGGGAACAGTAGGAGAGACGAAAGAAGACCACAGAGCCAGGACAGGGATCTGGAAGCAGACAGTGGAAGATAGAACTAGTCATGGACTCAATCAGCGAAGAAGAGAGACTCCAATATGGGGGGGAGGGGGAACAATTTGGTGGAAGCGGAGAGACCCCAGTGGAAGAAGAAGAAGAAGAAGAAGAAGAAGAAGAAGAAGAAGGGAAAAAAAAAAGAAAAACAATAAAGGATGGAGGCGAGGGAAGTATGAGGGAAATGGAATGGCAGGAAAGCCGAGAGAAGACCACAGAGGAGGGAGAGAGTACTAGAGAAAGGAGGCCGCAGTGGAAGATAGAACTACTGCTAGTCATGGACTCACTGAAGAAACATCTTGAGGCAAAGTCTAGAGTAAGGAGGGAGAGACGAGTGTTAGTCCCACGAAAATCGAAAAGAAATTTAAAGAATACATTAAAAAAAATTACCGCAAGCGCGACCGTAACACCATGTCCCATCCATTACACCGCCACTACGCTGGTATCGACATCGCTCCGACTGCCAAATCATAACCACCAAATGAAGTCTATGGTTTATGGCTGCAGATCTCAAGCCAGCTTAGCTAGTTCCTCTCCTCATTTGCTCTCTAAAAAGGTAGTCCCCATTCAACGTACAAGGAAACACATGCCGTCATCCTTGTTGCGAATAAAGATACACTCTCTGAGAAAGAAAGTAGTCCATATAACACGTACAAACATTCACTCGCTAAGAGAGTAGCCCATGTACAACGTACAAGGAAACACCTGCGGGCATCCTTGTTGCCCCTAGAAAACTAGTCCATGTACAATGTACAAAGATTCACTCTTTAAGAAAGTAGTCCATGTACAACGTACAAGCAAAAACCTGCAGGCATCCTTGTTGCCTCTAGAAAACTAGTCCATGTACAATGTACCAAGAAACACCTGCAGACATGATCACCCTTACCAACCTAACAACCAAATGGGTACTTCACGGATCGAGGGGTTTCACTTTCTTAAAAAGTAGTCCAGGTACAGTGAACCAGCAAACACCTACAGGCCTACAGGCAATTTTTGCCCATAATATAACCGAAAATGACTTTTCTGGATGAATCTGACCTTAATTACAGCCTGACCTGGTCGTATCTGACCTCAATTACGTCCACAGATCAGTTGAAAAAGTCTTTTTTCTTTTCTTTTTCTCTTTCTTTTCGGGACGAAAAAGTCTTAGTGTAAGTATGCTCTGAGTWTTTTATAGATCAGAWAGAAAGTTTWTTTYTKKWTYWYWTTWT